TTACTGAGTTTTGATACATCTGGGTAGCTTATTCCAGATTGCTATGGTGTTTACTGAAAAAAGTCGCCGTATATAACTGTGCGTGCCATAAGAGGAAATAAAAAGGCACCTCGACGACTGGTACGCCAAGACTGACCGAGCTGCCTCAGGGTACTAAGGGATTAAAGTTCCGACCGTTTACACGTTGAAACAGTAAAAATAGTCCATTCTGTAATCTTCGAAGCCGCGAGGGATCCAGGTTGGTAAGTTTACAACGTTGTTTGTAGGACAGGTTGCGGAGTTCTGTAGAGTTCTTTTAGAAAAGAAATACGGTATGGATTCCATTTTCTCCCGTTCACTAGTGCGCAAAAGCTAAATACAGACGAGTATTATTCCAGGGTAGGCCTTAGGTACATATTATAAAGGCTAGTTACAATTTTGACGGTCTTAAAATATCTGAGAATAAATCAGACAATCTGTCTTAAATAAATAAATGAACAAAATTGTATATTTAAGGCCCAAGGGGCCCTTTCATTACAAACTTAGTGCTTTCGTGAAAATAAAAAATAAAAATAGGTAATCACGGCTGCGCGTAAGCAGCTTATGATAACAGGAATTAGTAGTATGTTACGCGTGGTAAGATGGTAAGTTAGATCCGATTAACAACGAACTGTCGTATCAAATAATTTTCTGGGCAGTAAAAAACTCCTACATCGGTGGATGAGTTCAGCGAGCCACCGATTTTCAAAAAAAAATGTAGGAGAAAAAACTGCCTTAATAGGTAGCATCGTATGACATGATGAAGTTAGATAGGATCCTGCTGTTGGGGGTTCGAGACGCTCATTGTCATGGGAAAAATAATATATCGGTGAGTTATGAAGGGGTCATCCGGGACAAAAGGAGAAGACCGTAGAATTCAAGGCAACATCACCAAGATGCGACCCACCAGACTCCAGAGTCCACCAACAAGTTGGCGACCATGCGATAACCATCACTAGCGACCTCGAAAACCACCGCGAAGTTTGCAAAACGGAGAAGATGTTGCAGGATTTGGAAGTGATGCTTGACTCTACAGAGGAAAATGCTAACATATTAAGAAACCATTTGACTATCCTGGCAAGAGCTTCAAATGCCAGGAGGACCCTTTTCGAAATCTAAAAGTTGCGTGTTTGGAAAGGAAACAGACAGTAACGACTTTATTTCCTCCAAATGTAAAAGCTTACGCTACTTGCTTTCGAAAATCGATAATGTAGAAAAGAACCTAATTTCGAGTGGAAGTTTGTTCCAAATAAAAGCATATTTGGAGGTAAAAAAAGCGAGAACGATTAGGTGTGGAGCTAAGAGGTGGTAAAATTATCATGGAGGAGTCACGAGTGGCGTCATGTCGGTTTACCGGAGTGAGAGCGTTAATTTGTTGGAGGTTAGGACTATTGCTAACGAGAAACAGAAAGCATATACCAGCTTCGAGTCTTCCTACCCAAAGAAATTTAATGTCTGCTAACTGACATCTATCTTTATAAGAAATACTAGACCCAGAAACAGAAAATATTTTACGAGTGAAAACTCGCTGAATCTTTTCAATCTTTTTACGGTCAATCGCGTTCATAAGGCCAAAAAGTGGACAGCAGTATTCTAGTATAGGGAGAAAAAAACATGCGGTAT